CTCAGTAAGGACCTCTCAACCGTTCGACAATGTTTAAAAACAGAAACGAACTGACTAACCAATTTACAAAACTCTTTTATTCCGTTTTACATTAGTAGCTTTCAAACCAATCATAACAACTCTTATATCTATACATACTTTTTGATTGGTTTTTCTCAACCAATTACAATTACTTCCCTTCAATCAACTTTTTCCGGTTGACATGCGCGCGCAACAGCCCTAACGAAAGCCCTGGAAACTAATTCCAAGGGGTAAGAGCTCTGCAAAAAAATGCTGACTAAGGGGAATATAGCTGTGACTATTCTACTGGCGAGACCCGTGTGACGTAGCTTAAGGGACGGAAGTTCGAATTCACATGTGAAGGAGTACTAAAAAGCTATTGGGAAGACATATGTGTTTCAGCACTCATGGTTCTTAATGTGACTCAGAATACAATTATATTCCTAGGTATATTATCTGACTGGATGAATCAAATGATACTAGTCACGAAATTGGAACTCTAGAAGCAGTTGATAGCGAAATTTTAGGCGATTATGATGCATATTGTCTTTATGCCGATGAGCCGCTAGCGAACCAGGAATGCTACGCGCGATAAAAGCTACGCGCGATATTTAAAACTTTGCGGAACACAAGGAACAAAAACGAGATGCTAGAACGAAGATTAGACGGCCTTGAAGATATTAAATCATGGTGAGCGTAAACATAGATTTATTTAACATTTTAACGGCGTAAAATAAGTATCTCTGGCTGATATATTTTTGATACGGCATCAGTCACATCAAACCCTCACCTGTATCATATTTCACAAGTGTAAATGCGGCGATTGTGTGATAATACATATACAATATACACACGAAGCTTGGTGCTGTCAGGAGATGGAATCTTGTAGGGATGTTCTGAAGGATAACTTCGTTTTAGAAGATGTGCCACAGCCGCCGTGCTGTATCACTCTGCATTCGGGATTCAGACCTTTTGTTTGGAAAAATGGGCTTTAAGAATTGAACTTGCGAGAAAATACAATCGTTCAATCGTTCGTATTAAATAAACGTGATCACAGAGAAACACTGTAGCTTCAAACAAGAATATATACGTAATTTGCTCTGAACCAGTCTGTTTATATTTTCGTTGATCTCGTGTCTTGTATTTTCTTGCGAAGGTGAGGGAAGTGTGGTTTTAACTCTTTGTTGTGACTGATGCCATATGAGTCCGTATCCCGCAAAATATATTAGCCAGAGGCAGAGATACTTTATATTTTACGTTAAAATGTTAAAATAAAATGTTTACACTCACCATAATTTAATATCTTCAAAGCCATCTAACCTTCGCTGTAGCATCTCTTTTTGTTGCTTGTGTTCTGCTGAATTTCTGAAATATCGTGCGTACCATTCTAGCGTTCTAGCGGTTCATCGGCATAAAGGCATGCATCATAATCGCCTAAAATTTCGCTATCAACTGCTTCTAGAGTTCCAATTTCGTGACTAGTATCATTTGGTTCATCCTCTATAATACAGTATATCCAGGAATATAATTGTATTCTGAGTCACATTGAGAACTATGACCCAACTCAACATTAAAATTTCCATCGAGTGAGATGCAACAAAACCATCTATAGTTTATTAATTATGTTAACCTAATCCATCAATTGGCAATGAGCCTACTTTAGTAATAATTTTATATACTCCATCTCTAATTTGCCCATTATATTTATAAACTGACAGTTAATACTATTACTCTTTCACATACTAATAAAATCATCTGGGCCCGGTTGTTCGAAGCCCGTGTAAGCCTTTGAACTACCGGCCCCAGATGATTTTATTAGTATGTGAAAGAGTAATAGTATTAACTGTCAGTTTATAAATATAATGGGCAAATATATGATTATGTACAAATTGCATGCATGGTTCATAAAATCTCTGTGATAGACTTGCTCCAACAGATTCAAATTCCATCCTGACAATACCTAAATAATAATTATAGAGGTTGCAGTGTTGCACTACCTTTTGCTAAAATACTGCCATTGTTTACCAGTATTTAATATGAACTCAAAAGTCAAAACACTTCACACTATGAAGTATTTAGATTTATAAATAGTACTTAGTATTTTATAAACCTTAATTGCATATAAAATAGTTTATAATTATCTTACCTTTGTACTTTTACTGTAATTATCTCTTTAGTTTGTATTTGTTCACTAATCTGTATTTTCTTATTTCAAAATAAACTGAATTTCATATCAAGAAGCAAAGTTTGTCTGTTAATTTGTGTGCTTATTTAATTAAAGGCAAAGTTCAGCCTTCTGAGTGATGGTTTTTATGGCGCATTACAAGACTTTTAATTGAAAAAACTAACTAGTAAAGGCAATTAAGCATAATTCAAAATCAGTGAACTCAATGTTAAAAAACATTAGAAATGTTTAAAAATGTTAAAAACATTGAAATCACTGATCTTGAATTGTGCTTAATTGATTTTCCTAATTAGTTTTTTCAATTAAAAGGCTTGTAATGCGCCTTAAAAACCATCATTCAAAAGGCTGAACTGTGCCTTTAAATTTCTCTCCCCCCCCTGGAAAATGGCCATGAATAACAGCGTCGAAAACGATTGATATCAGGTTGTTTACGTATTGATAAAACAAGACTGTTCGCAGTTGTTGACAATATAAAACATCATTGATATCAGGTTGATCTCAGTTGTTCCAACAACGTTGTTCAGGCCTTGCTCGTTCATCAGGCGTCAACAACATTGTTCGAACAAGCGTGAACAATATTGTTAACAACATTGCTGCAAGTGGGCCGCACAATATTGCAGCATCCTGTTCAGAACCAAGTTGCAGCAACTTGTTGACAACTTGCAACAACATGATGATTTTTACGCGTGTACCATAACAAGTACTTTAGATACTTCATGTTCGGAAAATACAATGGTTTTGTCAGCTAGGCGAGGGTTTCCGCATGCATGTATTTTCTAGTATAGTTTATATAGTTCTATAATAACAAGAACGAATTCTTTCTATTAATAACAAATATTTTCCATTTAATCAAAATGCCCCCTTCGCCCCCTTGCCCCTCCTGGTAAAGGGCAAGAGGGCCAGCTGCCCCTCCTGCCCCCCAGTTTCGGCGTCCCAGTACATGAACTTGTGGTTAGAGCTGGACAACTGGATTCTGTAGCTCAGTTGGTTAGAGGGCTGCACCGGAATCGCAGGGCCGCAGGTTCAATTTCTGCCAGGGACCTAAAGTTGCATTTTTCGCTTCTGTTCCTGGTTAGGTCTAATAAATGTATATAAATTTCCACTCGATAATTTCCATCTACAATACCCATCAATTATTAATCATTCGAGCCTGAGATGCCACAAAAATCTTGAGTTTATCTGAAGATAGCGTTCCAGTTACTACATTTCAATAGGCCATCCAGGTAGATTCCAGACCCCGGCGCATTTTAAATTCAAGATGGCGCCCAAATTCGAAATTTATAGGAATCAGAGAGAATTTTATAGATTTCGTGTACACATTTTGAAATGTATTAAAATGTGAAAGTCTATACGGAAACAACAAGATCACTTAAACAAAATGTACTTTTTATCGAGGTTGTTGTGTTTCTCCAAGAACGTAGGGTTTGTATCTAATCGGCAATGTATAAATTTGATCAAAATTCTTCAATCGAAGTTCTTGGAGAGAAGTTGCCACCCACAGCAAAGAGGCAAGCATACAGCTCCAGTTGTGTTACCTCAAACTGGTGTTGAAGCTCATATTCATGGACAGATAATACAAGATGACTTCTCCTGGTTGCAAGATATAAATGACCCTGTGAGTGTTTGACTTTGTACATTAGATTTATGCACCAGTCAATCTAAATCCCCCCCCCCAACCGGGGAGAGGCCCGGGGATTTAGCGGGGAAAGTGGTCAGTTTTCATTGTAAATATGTCCCCGATGATGGGGGACTTGGATGACATTTTCTCTTTTGGTAGACGATGTGGGGACGAAAGCGGGGGAATGGATTCAGTGGTTAACATATATATATCCTGTGTAGCTGTTTTAGTTTTCTTTACAAGAAAAGTTTAAATACAATAACATAAATGAATTTGATTTTCTATTGCTGATCTATGAAATATACAAAACTATTTTCCCGGGGTTGAGAGACATGCGGGGACATTGATTAATTACCTTTCCCCGGAGGCGGGGACAATGTTGCTCTTTTACTACCCCTCTAAGTCAAAATCCACGTCCCTCCCTGGTTGGGGGAGGGGGGAAGGGATTTATATTGACTGGTGCATTAATAATTTAGGCTAGAGAGCGGTCCCCCAGAAGAAAGTACTAGGGACTGCTGACAACACATCAAGAAACAAAATATCAAATATGCAATTTAAGCCAATGTAAAAGTTTTTTGCGGTATTCATCATAGCATGAATTTCAGACAGATACGAATATATTGAAAAGAATATGAATTTCAGACAATACAATGTCAGATACCGTATATTGAAATGTGCCAGGACACAGAACAAAGACTATTCAGAAGTCTGAGTGCCTGACTTAGTGTAACCGTTGCCATACAATGATTTGTCATCAAAAGGTACTCACCATATTCCTATCCTATGTGCTTAATAAGAAGCATTCACCCCCTGAATGTCTGTCAGTTTGGATATTTGCTGGCGGTGAATGCCTCTTGTAAGTGTACTGGCTAGGAACATGACGACAGCATTGCAATTAATGGTTATGCCATACTCATAGGGGCCTACAAAAAGTTTGACTTGCATTTGTTCATTCTGTGACCAAGACCCAGTCAAGTGATGTCACTTACTACCAGAAAACCTGCTAGTGATTTTCATTGGCTAAGAGGTATAATTATGCATAAATTATGAGATTATATCAAAATAATGTACATTGGGTTGTTCCAGAAAAGGTTCACACTCTGCACAGGAAGCACATTTCTGCTGTATAGAGGGGGAGGGGTATTAGTGTAGGGGAGTTAACTTCAAATTTCCTCTGTGGTGGAGGTATGGATGTTTTCTAGAATGATCCATTCAACTGATCCGATAACACACAACAATTTGTACATTTTACCAAAAAATCAAATAATGGGTCGTTCCAGAAAAGATCCATACCCCCCCCACGGAGGAAATTTGTGCTGTCCGAAGGGGGAGGGAGGAAAAATGTCTTAGGATGTCCGAAGGGGGGGGGGGAGGAATTGTCTGAAGGTTTGAGACTGATAAAGAAATGTGATCGGCGATTATAATGAGCACGCAATTTTTATCGGCTATATGCAGCTCTTGAACACCGGAACGTTTATGTAACAGCAATAATTATACGTCCACGTAACTTGTAAGCAAAATAAGCGGCCCACTTTTGCATGCATGGCCTGCATGTTGAGAATGAGTCGAAAATTGACACGCTTTATTTATATAGTTTGCAGTTTTCGTTCGCCATATATAAGTTTGAATTATTCAAGTGTTAAAAATAATAGTTATTAAACTGTTGCTCGAATTAAGAGACTGCTATGTGAACTGAACTCAAAACAATTTGTTTTAGTATATAGTCAATAAAGCTTCCTTGCGAGGTGCATGTCTAGAAAATAGAAGAAATGGCTTTCATATTAAGGGCGAGGTTAAGGAATGCAGTAATACTAAAAAATGTATTAACATGTAAGTAAACACAGCAACGCTTGTCAATCAGTCGCAAGTTACATCGAATTTCAGTCCGAATTTTACTTGAACGAATTTCGAAGTGAATTTCTGCAAATTATCTGACAAAACCTGCCACGTGTTTGTGTTCGCAAGTCACAAGAAGCCGCCAAGTGTTCCGCCACGCCGGAGCTATTTGAGAACAGCGTAGAAAAGTCACAATAAGCCATCGCTAATTCACTCTACGCTGGAGCGAAATCGTTTGAAAACTTTCACGTCACTTTTGCCGTTTTGCGTAACAATTAAACAATTTGAGCACGGTTTCTAAACGGAGCGAGGTGAAAACGGCGGAGCGCTTGATAGCTTCGTGTGAACACAAACGTGTAAACTCGAATGCTTTTCAGTTAAATTTCTTGGGTCTATTTGAAATATTTTGGGTTTACACGAGTGCTAATTCAATTTGTAAACAAACTGTAATGGCGGTAGTATGAACACACGTAAATTCTACCCGCATTAGTTCGCTCGCACGTAGTCTAATTTTCGGTGACGTTTTCAAACGGCGAGGTAGCCTTTAGAAAAATTTAGAAATAGTGGATGTCCAAAGGGGAGGGGGGTAATTTTGGGCTTGGATGTCCGGAGAGGGGGGGGAGGATGAACCATTCAAGGATGTCCGAAGGGGGGGAGGGGGTTATTTTCAATTTCCTCCGTAGGGGGGGTATGGATCTTTTCTGGAATGACCCAATGCATGTAAACAAGATATCAATAATGGGAAAATCATGCAATCATCAACTCCATCAAGTGTCCTTAATGTAAATATTACAGTACTTTGGGCACTTGTATACAACCAATTCAAAAAAGGTTGTCCTTTGCAAACCTTAATTAAACTCTAATCCTTAAACCTTAAGCTCTGAGCATGCAAAGCTTAATGGGAGGACAAGTTTCAAGCTTAGTAGTTGCATATTGCAGCTATGTGTGCATGAATTGTTCTTGTAAGGAGATATTTAGTAATACCTGGGGCCGGTTGTATCAAGCCCGTTTAGCTTAAACGGAGGTTAAGCTCAAAACAGAAAGCAAGTCTATATATTCATTCAACAACCAAACTAAAAATTTTAAGCCTTAATAGAACGATAATGTTTACAACTACATATTTAGTGCATAATATTTGAGTTGACTGATTCACGAGAGATATAAGAGTGTTATTTAATTTTGACTTATACACCGTTTAAGCTAAACGGGCTTGATACAACCGGCCCCTGGTCTCTAAGAAATGGGCCCCATATATGATTTCTGAACTGATTAAAGGATGCTTTGCATGCTTAGATTTGAATTACCGGTAGCTGTATAAATTATAGTATTAATCCCTCCACATGTGAATTAAACTTTTTATCCATCCGCGGACAAATAGATATTTCATATAGGATTGACATATAGTATTTCTCCCTCTAAGGGGTACAGGGGAAGGCCAGAGACTCAGTGCATATTTTATTATTTTAATTAAAGTTCATACAGCTTAATTTATATCTTGCAAATAAATGCTACTATAACTTAGCTACCCCAAGTCACTATTTAGAAAAAATGTTTATCGATATAATCTCGGAAAAAAATGACTTGTATACTTCCTGAACATGTTGGACTTTCTGAAGAAATTAATATTAGTTCAATTAGCCACATTTTATTATTAGTTAATTATAATGCATAGTATTAGTCACACAACCACATCAGCTATGCTGTAATATTATTATCGTGTTTAAATAAATGCTTTTATTACTATTATTTATGCCAAAGATCGTTGGCACAAGTTTGGTAAATTACAAAATTACAATTATATTTATAGTAAATATTGAGTTGATGTTTCTTTCAATTGGCACATATTAGCCGTACGGAATGCATTCAGGGGGAAAGGTCGCATGGGTAACTAAGAATTTGTGATTGCAGAATATATGGGACAAAAAAACGGACTTTTCTCTACAATGTAATCATTGACTATATGCAAAAAAGTAGGGGGAGAAGTAGCCTGCTCGCACACGTTATTATTCTTACCATGGGCGTACCGGAAGGAAAAAATTAGGGGGGGGGGGCGGAAAGAAATTTGCCCGACTTTTCCGGAGTTTGCCCTACTATTTTGCCCTCCCCCCGTCGCCAAAAGAAGTTCGGTCAGTGTACCATTTTAGGGGCCAAAAAAATTTTCCGGACATACCAAAACTTTTCGGAACATCATACAAATTTTCCAAACACCACAAAATTGACCACAAAATTTCCGACAAAAATGACAGAATTTGTCCCATTTATTTTTATAATTTACCAAAATTGCCCGACTGTTCATCGAATTTTGCCCGACTGCCTAAAAAACTGGGGGCTACCGACCCCCCCGCCCGGTACGCCTATGATTCTTACGCCAAGCGACGAAAAACTACCGTCTGCTTACCCAAACTGCACATTCAATTCACTTTGTTTTAGGAGCCAATCATCTGGCAGTGTTCAAAAGAGTTAGACCCAACTGGAAGCCGCCTTATTGAGAGATTAGCTACTGGGGAAAGCCCTTGCACATGCATGGGAATATATTGTTTGGGTTGAAACTTGAAATTTGTTCACTTGCGTGGATATATTTTGGAAACTATAGCGTTGAACGTCACGATGTTTACGTAGAATAATATTGTGATCATCGTCTCGCATGTTCAGCAAACAATCGGTGTATATAAAGTGCAAAAGCAATGCAGTAGGCGAAATTTAAATTTTTGTTAACAATGTCAAGTGACAAACAATCAATCGGGAAACTCGAGTATATCAGGATATGTCCAAATGTTGCTCTTGATACTTCCTATATGCCATGACTTCGACGAAAACTTCTAAAAGATTAAGCTCTCATTGTCATGTAGAAAAGTATAGCCAAGTTAGAGTATAAACGTTTCGAAGTTTGGGCGAATTGGAATATTCATCTCGGCGCAATTTTAATACAATTGCAAGTTTCTCGGGTTTGTGTTGTGTTTACAGTTTACATTCAGAAGTGGTTGCTCAAACAGCAAATTAGTTTACTTTGAAGCTAATATTTGCCACAGTATTATATAACATTTTCTGTCTTCCGAGTTCTGTTGTCTTATAAAGATAAACATCCGTCAAAAGTTCAAATTTCAGCGAAATATATTCAGCATTTGATGCTGTCTGGCCTAGATTCATACAGTATAAATATGCTAATCCTGTCCGCGTTTTAAATATAACCGAACATCTTTAATATCCAAATCTGATCATTAATGGTGCATTTTATTACCTGGACAAGTATCAGTATCCTTAAATTCAATTTATGTGCAATTTTGACCAAAATTCAACCGTCGACTGCTTTCAAAATATAGAGAATAATACATGGGTGCGTGGAAATACCAGATTTATTTCGAGATTTATTTCGAGATTTATTTCGAGATTTATTTTATTATGTCAGTGAAAAACAATAAAACGTCCGTGGCAATGCATTTTACAACAAATGATATTTTCACACGTAAAAATATCGTATTTTTTACGTGTGTTTAAATACGATTTTTCTCAGTGGCCAAAAACTCTATATAACACTTATGTTTGTATAATAAATATATTTAACAATTATTACATGAGCTCGAGTCGTACAGTATATAAGCTGATAGTCGATGACGTGCGTAGCACCGAGTTGGGTATCAGCCATATACGACGAGAGCGAATGGTATAATTGTTTTATAATATAGTCTAATATAGCCATTAACTGAAGCAATAATTAATTATCCTCTGTTACAATGTCTTGACAATTTGTTCGTCCAAAAACCGCTTGGCCTTGAAAATTTGAAATATTTTTGTTTTACAACTTGAAGACGAAGTGAAAGAAATGGTTTTAGAACCGCTATATCTCACAGAAAAGCTCAGATATATCAGTATACGGATGTTTGGTAGTATAGTAAGTTTGGTAGTATAGTAAGTTTGGTAGTATAGTAAGTGCTTGTTGACTGCAAATTCATTGTCTTTCGTTGCAAACTTTTCTGAACAATTTATATTCTCAATGAACATGTTTTTTTCGATGTTGTTTCGGTACTAATTCTTTAAAAAACTAATTTCCATGTAATAAATGTATTTTGCTAACCTGTCAAATTTTTTTGAGAGTTTTTCCTTGTACTATTATCTTTCTCAAAGCGAATATTTTCTTAAATCAACTGACGTCACTTTCCAGAATTTGGAAGGTAAATTCTGATTGGTCGACGTAGCGGAATTCAGTTTGGCGCTCGGTAGGATTTCGTCGCTTGGCGTAAGAACAACAACGTCTGTGAGCAGGCTAGGGGAGAAGGTCACAAAAGAAGGGTAAAGAATTTTGTCCTGAATTGGGAATTTTTATCAACAATCATCCTTTACATTACCTCGCCCTTACCATACCTTGTCCAATTTTAGCAAAATTTCCAAACATCACACTGTAAAAACTGATAGGTTAAAATAACCAAAAAAAATAGGTTATTTCAGTTGGTCTAGGACAACCGGTTTAAAATAGGTTATTTAAATAGGTAGAAATAACTAAAACTAAATAGGTTAAAACAAACCATTTCTACTGGGTTATTTTAACCTGTAATATAGTTAATTGTACCTATTTAAAATATGTTATTATAACATTTATTTTTAGGTTAAAACAACCTAAATTTAAACAGTTAAATCTACTCAGAAATATAGGTTGTTTTTGCCAAATAAATATAGGTTGTTTTTACCTATAAATATTTGGTCATTTTAACCAATAATATTTGGTCAATTTAACCTATAAGTTTTGGTTAATACAAATATAACCTATTCTTTATGGTTCAAATAACCCATAAATAATGGTAAAGGCCATGAGTCTATACCAGCACTCTAAAATAGGTTACATGCGGTTGATCTAACCTAAAAAAAATAGGTTAAAATCAAATAGGTTAAAATCAAATAGGTTAAAATCAATATTTGACTCAAAGTCAAATTAGTAAATATTAAAACAATTTCAGTACTTTGATAAAAATCATATATTTTTCTTAAGGAATGGATAAGTCTTATATACAATATATAATTAAAATAATCTATGAGATAATTGAGTTCCAGTGTGCGACAATTGCAAAACAGTAAAGTGGAAGTGGAGCAGAGTTTGATGTCATGTGGTCATCATATTATATTGTGAAAGTAAAAAGCTCTTCATATATAGAAGAAACAATGGTTATCTCACACAATTGTAAGCTTGTAAGCTATATATATAATTGTAAGCTTGTAAGCTATAATTTATATAGTTTAGAGTTATACTATATAGAAACATTCACAGGAATAGCCCATGATTGTGAGGGTCATAACTCTCCTCGGGACAATATATCCTGCATGTACAATACATGCATTAAATTAGTGATACAATATTATCATAATTTCATTAGCATAAATTGTTCCATTTAATGTGAACATTCATAAAATCCTTTAGCTTAGGAAGTTCTCCACGTCAATTGGTAAAGTACCGGTATGGCAATTATTGGCCAAAAGAACATGTTCTAAATTACTAAAACATGTAAATGTTCTTACTATGACCTGTTGGCCCCTTTTGGGTACTGCATGTTAAAACATAGTACCCTGCAAGCAAACGTGCCACTGCGTTGGTAATATTGCACGGATCGTATCTGAATTTTTTACAACCATTCCCTCTGCAATCAATGAAATCGAACTTATCTCTTCCAGAGGTCCAGTGGCCAATAGACGAGGGGTTGAGCATCCTGATATTTTGGGAGCAATTTCAGAATCATCCTGCAACAAGGAAATATATATATATAACTGAGTGAAATAAGCATTTCATGCACAACTTACACTTATGTCTAAATATTGTACTTCTTCTCCTGTAGTTACACTACAAAAATATACATCACTTCATAATTTCTATCTAGATTATTTTTTGTGTGTGTTGGCATTATGTACTCACTGAATATGATGTTTGTGATGTTACTCTGAGTGTGAATCCACACCCAAAACCTTTGGGATACTAGTCCAATGCTTTGCCAACTGAGCTATGTGCCAAGTCGGTTCGAGTTGACGATATTTCGGAACTGAGTCTAGTTCCTTCTATATCAGTGTATTCTATATGTCCGATTGTTTTTTGTCATACTGAGTACATCACATGAGTACATAACATCAAGTACATAACACCAACACACATAAAAAATAATCATATAGAATACACTGATATAGAAGGAACTAGACTCAGTTCCGAAATATCATCAACTCGAACCGACTTGACCATGTAGCTTATTTGGCAGAGCATTGGACTAGTATCCCAAAAATCGCAGGTTCAATTCCCACCGTGGCCAAGCTAACTTTTCAGCTTGCCCGGAGTGGATTCACACTCAGAGTAACATCACAAACATTCTATCTAGATGTTATAAAATATACAAAATTCACTTACAAGAACAACTTTAATTAAAGGAATGTTCTCCTGAGGTATGCTCCTTCTCCTCAAGGACATATGTCAAAGCTGCCATGATACAACGGTTTTGTAACTCTACAAAAAGATCAAACATAGAATAAATTTCTATACAGATTAAAATACACATATATGGTTAAGTTCTAATTCTATAATACACATATAGGTTAAGGTTTTATATAGATTAAGTATCTTAATATAGGTTAATGGTTTAATCCATGTACGGATACTAAACAATTCTTTCTTCAAAAACTGTAATCACTGTAATCAATCTGGTATTAGTCTATTAGACATAGTGAAATAATCTTGCGTTAGACAGAGTAGCATAATCATTAAAATAGGGTGCATCAGGGCACAATGCGACTTGATGGGTTAACTAGACACATGTGGCGGATAGAACAGTTATACCCATTAAGCGCCAGTGCTCTTCCATTGACGAGTAAAATAGTCTGGTGTTAGACAGAGTAAAATAATAAAGTAGGGCACAATGTAACTCAATGGGTTAACACAGTCGAATAAGAACACAGTCACATCACTATATTGTAATGGCAGATAAATATTAACACACACACAATTATAAAGTTGTGCACAATGACTTACAATGGGAAGTATGTAACTGAAGCCCATAAATTAAACCAGTTCTTGCTGTACGATATCTCTCAGGGTCTGTGTACACAATGCCAGGTTTTCCCTTGAACATGCCTTGCTGTGCCAATTTGTAATTTTCTGTGGTGAGTAATTGGCTACAAAATAAAAATTGGGATTATTCTACAGTCCAAGTTAATTTGTAGATAATCCTACTATTTCACAAAAACCTGAAATAGCCTGACTCGTTATTTTTAAGTTATACAGTTTATACACTGGTCTTTTTTAAATTTTTTTCTCAGTCACAACGAGGGCTACCTTTGAGAAATACCTGGTATAAAACAATTGGTCACAATTGGGAGCCTTGTCATTTCTAGGGCTGCACGAGCCACAAGATAGAACGTTTTGCTATTCGGCTAGATGTCAGTATGTCAGATATGTTGGACGACATCACGCCAAATAACTGATACTGTTGATATAAGATTTATACTTTCATTTAAGATAAATAATTATTTTAATTGGTTATAAAATGAGGGTATTTATAATACTTTGATTTGAAAAGATACTTGAAATCATAGGAAAGAACTTC